AGGGAGCCGAAGCAAAATGAGGCAGCTTGCGACCGGAGGGCATGCCGAGCCCCGCAGTGCATGCCGACAGCGACTTGATGATATTGGGGATATTCTTCGCGGAAGGCGTCTTACTTCATAACGTCACCGCAGGCGGGAGCGCCGACGAGGCCCTGGCCGACGTCCTTGTCGCCCTTGGGCATGGAACCGACATTGCGGGGGCGGGAGTAGCTGTTTCGCAGACATCAGTACTCTCCATCTTCCAAACGTGATATCCGGGGTCACATACTGGTCCAGCACCTTCTCGTGGTATGCCCTCGTCGCGCCGACGGCAACAGCAGGTGCAAGCTGGCGGGCGGGAGCGGCAGAGGGGCGGACGGAGGTGGTGAGGATCGCGCGAGAGGCGACACGGAGGGACCTGGAGAACATCGTGAAGGGTATTTTCGTCGTCGGAATCTCTTTTCGGCGTTGGCTGTGTGCAGTAGGTATCGAGCTTGGGGAACTGTCGCACGTGTGTTTGAAGTCGCAAGAATCGATTGAGGGTATCAAAAGTGATTGTCGATGGTGTTGGCGACAGAGGAAGGCGAAATAAGAAATTTGTTGAGGCGAGAAGGGCACTCTGCAGCTGAGGGTTTAGCGGAGGGCAGAAAGAGGAGGCGAAGATTCGGGTCAAAAGAATAAAATGGAGAGAGCTGGCACTGGCGCTGGCAGTGGGAGTGGCACCCTCACTTCACTGGAGCGGGCGCTGGGACGGGCTCCAGAATCTGGCACTCACACGCCGCGGATGCGGGACTTGTGACGGAGAACGATGGCGATCTCGGTGGTAGCAGGTGCCAGCCGCCAATCAGAGCTTTCAATGACCATGCATTAAGTCATGGAGAGCTCACTAGGCTCGGCGCCTCGGAGAAGACAAAAACTCGACCGCCTCCACTTGATTCGTCAGACGTCTTCTGATTGGCCGTGATAAGGCACGTTTCCTCGGCTCAGCGACGGGCAGAGTACGTACCGCACGGCACCGGAGCGTATCCCCGTCTTCTGACAGCCCGCGCCAGGCCTCCCCTCTGTCCCTACCAGCTGGCTGGGCGGGATTCGCAGCTGCGGTGGAGCATCCGACGGGGCGGCAACAATTTGTCATTGTCCTCGTCAACGAAAGAGATTGGATCTGATTAGATACGTCCTGCACCTCCGTCGTCGCGGGTCTTACGTACTCCAGATTCAATCACCGGCCGGTCGGCGGTAGGCAGGGTCCCGTGTCCGCTTTTTTGTTCTTCTTTTTTTCTGTCTTCTGTTCTTAAGTCCGGGGAAAGTCGTTTCGGTGCATAATCTCCACTAAAAAGTCGGTGTTGCATCAAAGACAGCATCTTGACTCATCCACGCGCAATTAAGCAGCCCTCATGCAAGTAGACAGCGCAATGCGATTAACCACTGCGCTGGTCCCACTCCACTACGTAATCGTTCAGCTCTACCTAGGCAGCCTGTCCTTACCTTACCTAAGCTCAAGCTCTCCCGCAGCAGCAGTCCAGTGCTGCCTTGTGGTGTCGTAACCGGGTCCCCGCCGCGGGGCAGCACCAGCACCAGCACCAACCAATACAGCCCACCAAGACTGAGCTGGGTGCACCACCACAACGGCCACTACCTTCCTTACCTTACCACTATTTTCCTGCAAGAGCTTGAGCTTATCGGTTGCTTGCTCTGACCTGCTTTGCTCAGGAACCTGCCTTGCGCCTTCTCAACTCAGCTTGCTTCCTTTCAAGGTTGCGCTTTGACGCCTCTGCTGCACCTGCCTGTTTGCCTTTTCTACAAGACAGCCAGGGCACATTCAAAAGTCAACACACCTTCGATCCTCACCCACCACAGCAACATTCCGAAGCTCACTGACCGCGATCTCTGAACGAGAAAAAGCAACATCGGCTTCCACCATGGCGTGCCCTCATCTGGAGACCATAGCCCCAAGTTTGTGTTCCCCGAGGCTTACAGCCATCTCTCCTGCCTATGCGAAGCTTCATCCAGCTGACATCTCGTAGCTCTGCAGCCGCCGACGCCCATCCAATCTGTCTACCGAGAGGACTGCACCCAGTGCTTCGACTCCCGTGTAAGCACTTCTCTAAGCCTCCCTCAGCCTTCATTTGCTGACTTGTTGTGTCAAGGACGATCCCGCCGGCGTTGATGTCTGCCTCCAGTGCTTCAACGGCGGTTGTGCTGGTGATCGCAACCACGCCCAGCTTCACCGACAGCTATGGGAGCACCCTCTCGTGCTGAATATTCGCCGCACCCGCAAAGTCGTCGTCCGAGATGAGCCCCCGCTTAAGATGTCGAAGCTGGCTATCGCCGCCGAGACCGAAGAAGACCGATTCGACACTATAACCACCGTCAAGTGCCTCGAGTGCAACCAAGAGCTTGACAAGACCAGTGACAAGCTTGCAAATGTCGTCGATGGAATTATGAAGGCCAACACCTTCTCCCGCAAGGAGGAGGTCAAGGCTTGGGAGCAGGAGCTGACCAGCTGCGAGCACATCTTGCTCATGCAGCAGTCGGAGCCCCGGACCATTCAATCCGGCGATCTTGGACACTGCTCGGCCTGCGACTTGCACGAGAACCTTTGGCTTTGCCTGGAGTGTGGAAACCTGGGCTGCGGCCGCAAGCAAATGGGCGGTGTCGATGGTAACTCCCACGCCCTCGCACACTCGACCGAGTCTGGACATGGTGTCGCGGTCAAGCTGGGATCCATTACCCCCGAGGGAACTGCAGACGTCTACTGTTACAAGTGCGACGAGGAGAGAATTGACGGAGACCTTGGCCAGCATCTGGGCCACTGGGGAATCATCTTGGCCGATCGACAGAAGACGGAGAAGAGCTTGACGGAGATGCAGATTGAGCAGAACTTGCGCTGGGACTTCAGCATGACTACTGAGGACGGGAAGGAGTTGAAGCCTCTCTTTGGTGCCGGCTTGACTGGCCTCAAGAACCTCGGTAACAGCTGCTACCTGGCCAGTATCGTCCAGTGTCTTTTTGATACCCCCGCCTTCAAGAGCCGCTACTACTTGCCTACCCGCGACCTTCCCGTTGTCCATGACCCTGCGGAGGATTTGGAGACTCAGCTTCGCAAAATGGCAGACGGCCTGATTTCAGGCCGCTACTCGAGGCCCGATTCCGATGCTGTCCCATCTGACCAGTCCCCCGATCTCCCTACACAGAAGGGCTTGGCACCTGCCATGTTGAAGCACTTGATCGGCAGAGGTCATGCCGAGTTCTCAACCATGCGCCAACAGGATGCCTTTGAGCTGTTGCAGCACATTTTTAAGCTTATCACTCGTTCCCCGCATCCCCCCGACCTTGGAGACCCGACTCAACCTTTCCGCTTCGTTCTTGAGCAGAGGTTGCAATGTCTTGGATGCAAGAAGGTCAGGTACTCGACTAATGAGCAAGACAACATCTTCATCGACGTCCCATTGGAGAAGCTCCCCGCCGAAGAGGGTGCCGAGGCGAAGCCCGATGCGTACAAGCCGGTCACGCTCAGAGAGTGTCTGGATAATTTCACCGCCGAAGAGGTTGTGGAGTTGACATGCTCTGCATGTGGAAGCAAGGACGGTTACACCAAGCGATCTCTGTTCAAGACGCTGCCTGAGAACCTTGTCGTCAACGCTAGGAAGATGGCTGTCATCAACTGGGTTCCGGTCAAGATCGACGTCCCTGTCATCGTTCCCGACGAGCCGTTCCTCCTCGACGACTACCTCTCCAAGGGTCTCCAGCCATCGGAAGAGACTCTTCCAGATGATGTCGAGGAAAGTGCCCCTGCGTTCGTCGCCAACCCTGAGGCCTCCAGCCAGCTTGAAGCCATGGGCTTCGGCCGCAACAGATGCGATCGAGCCCTCCACGCCACTGGAAACTCCGACGCCAACGCCGCCATGGAGTGGCTTTTTGCCCACATGGAAGACCCGGACATTGATGAGCCTCTGGTTCTCAGCGGTGGTGCAGGCGCCAAGGGTGATGCGGCGGATCCCGAAAAGATTGAGATGCTCGGAGCTATGGGCTTCTCCGTGCCACAGGCGAAAAAGGCGCTGCGAGAGACCAGCGGTGATGTTGAGCGAGCTGTCGAGTGGCTCTTCAGCCACCCTGACGACCAAGGAGTCTTTGACGAAGAGGCGCCTGCGGCAACATCCGACTCTGCTGCACCCAAGCCGGAGGCGGGAAGTGCTGCCACCCCTGCCAAATACCAGCTCCAGTCCATCTCCTGCCACAAGGGCACAAGCATCCATGCTGGGTATGTTTTTCTCATTCAGATTTGTGGTCGTGAAAACAGGCTAACAGTTAAATTAGTCACTATGTAGCCTTCATTCGCAAGGAGGTAGACGGCCACCCCGCTTGGGTCCTCTTCAATGACGAGAAGGTTGTTGAAGCGGCAGAGATTGAGGAGATGAGGAAGTTTGCCTACGTCTACTTCTTCAAGCGAGTCTAGGAACTCTCTTTGCCGACAGGAAGGGTTTTGAAGCGGCGTTGATTGAGGAGATTGAGGAGATGAGGAAGTTTGCCTACGTGAACTTCTTCGACGGCGTTTGGGTTGCGGCATAACGACGAAAAGGGACAAAGGCGGTTGTCCTGGGCATACGAATGGCATGTCGAAGTTGCGTGTATCAATGATCAAGGGAAGAAGCATGGTTGGTTGCATGGCGGGAGATGGAGGGAAGCAGTCATGTGCGGCGTGGAAAAGGAGAATACACATACAAGACAGACTCCGGTATAGGGGCACAAGAAAGCAGACAAATTATAGTTTCTTCATTACTGGTGACAGCCAAAGATAGTGTTCACCCCAGATTCAGACTCGGGGTGTTCCGAATATGTTCAGTGACCTCAACGCCAAGACGCCTTTAACATGCTGATGCCCCCCCAGCCCAGAATTTCAGGGGGCGTGGCATCAGATTCCGCACTCCATCGTACAATCATCTCTGCAGCTCCATCGTAATAGTACACGCCGACGTAAGAGGGTGCCCGACATAAGGGGTGGGAGAGAGAGACATGCCGGCTCACTCGGCCAGACGGTAGCTGACTAGGGTATCGACGCGGTGGTTGCTGGTGCTGAAGCCACGCAGCTGGACGCGTTCGCCGTTCTCAATCTCCTTTGCGTCGCTGTCGCCCCACTCGACGGGCACCTCGCTGTCAGCGTCGGCGTAGACGAGCACATTGAAGGTGCAGTCGCCGGCGAGCTGGGGGAGGAAGGTGACGGAGGCGGTGATCTGGCGGAAGATGGCGGCGATCTCGTCCTGGATCTCCTTTTCCGTCTTCTCGGGCGCGGCCTCGGCCGCCGCTGACCCATCGCCGGGTGCGACGTTCTCCTGGTCTTTTGCTTTCGAGCTCGACTTGGACTTTGACTTTGACTTGCCAAAGATTTGCACGTCAAACTGCCAGCGCTCGACGTGCTCGCCCGTGTCCTTGTCGGTGATGACGATGACGAGCTTGGAGATCTTTCCGCGAAGCATCCAGCGGTCCAGCTGGCCCATGATCTTTTTGATGTATGCCCTGACCTGGTCGTCCGACGATACTGCAGTTGTGTGTTAGAGCAAGCCGTACGCTTTCGATCGATCGACAGGATGGGAGGGTGTCTCGAACCTAGCATGTTGAGGCCATACTTCTTGACGCTGGACGAAGCACAGGGAGGTCAGCAAACGGTAACGAAACCAATGCGCAAGACGCAGGATGCGCCGGGAGAGGTTTGGGCTTACGCAGAGAAATCTTCCGCAGGATAGACACCTCGTTGGAAACTGGGAGCGGGGTTAGATCATGTTGGTTGCGCGCAGTCAGGTTGGCATTTCGTACAGAATGGTGTGTATCGAATATTGAAACTACTCAGCAAGAGCCTGATCAGCATAATGTTCTGCGCATGATGCAATCAAGAAAGCACCCGATTGAGCGTCACGAGGATGGGAGGTGGCCCAAGGGGATGCGACGAGGGGTTACTCACGAACTCGGCGACGAGCTTCGCGCTGCCCTTGAGGGCGAGCTTGTGCACCTTGGACTTGTCGACCTTGTCGTCGGAACCCATTGTGAATGTCGTCGGTCAGCGAGCGGACGAGTGAGCGGGGCGGCAGCGATTGCACGTGGAGTGTCGATTTCCTGAACGAACGGTTGTTGAGGTGAGACTTGCGGCGGTGATGGGTTTGTTTACTTTTGGACGGGATCGAATTTTGGGCTGGTTGCGGGGTGATTGGGCCTGTCTTGGCCTGGCGGTGACAGCTGACAGTGAGTACAGGGGTCGAGCACGGTTCAGGTTAGCGCTCGGCACTGCTAGAGCCCCGCTGTTCCGGGCCGGCATTGCAACCTCCAGGTACCGTCCAGTACCGTACCTACAGAGTATTATCTTCGCCGTACACTGCATCGCCCGGGCTTATTGAGTTGCAACTTGCCAGAACCTGCCGACGAGCAACTTACACAACTTGCCAGTCCGGGGGGCCCCGCTTCGGACTCGCTGCTCCAACAGCGAAACTTTCCGCAGAGGCGATCGAACAAGGATTTGACTTTATAATAAATCTGGCTTTGTTTTGACGACGGGAGGTGAAGTCGTGGGTGCCGCTTTAGCCAGTCTCTAGAACCCAACGGAAGTTGGGCATTTGGCAGCAACAGATACACCATCTAAAGGCCCATCATGAGCTCGTCGGGTTTGTTGGCAGCAGCAGGTGTCGATGCATCACATGGAGAAGGTAATAGCTTGCAGTAATAAACAGGGGGTATTTTGATTATCTATGAAACATGAAAGACTTTTGTTTTGCTTTAAGCAAGAGCAGCGCAGGTGAAGGGGCTGCTGATGGCGCCGGTCTTGAACTTGTGCGCCTGTAGAGTGGGTTAGCGTGTGGACTATGACCAAGAGCGATGAGCGGTCAAAACTTACAATCTCAACAATACTGGCGTATGTGCCGCAGACGAGGACAATCATGCCGATGACGAAGCACAGACCGTTCAAGGCGGTCTTCCACAGGTTGTGGGTGGCGAAAGGAGAGCCCTCACGGATGAGCATGAACCACATCATGGCAGGGAAGTAGAAGGTGAAGCCAGAGATGAAGAGGGAGGAGCTGATGGACAGGAGCTCGGAGAAGAAGGGGATGGCCTCGGCGATGATGAAGGCAAGGACGGTGATGACGGTGATCAGAGTAAGCCAGGTGATCCAGCCCATCTTGGTGTTGATGAAGCGGATGATGGAGTCCTTGTACATGCGGCCGTGGATGTAGCGACCGACGACGGTGGTGTTGATGGATCCCGAGATGAAGATGACGGGCAGACCAACGCCGAAGGCGACCTTGGAGATTGTGTGGCCAGCGGACAGGAGAGCGGGGGACTGGACCTCCTGACCGACAAAGGCGTAGATGAGGGCACCGGTGAGGGTGTAGATGAAGATCTCAATGAGACCGAGGGCCCAGATGGACTTCTTGTAGTCAGAGGGAGTGTGCATCTCGTCCATAAAGGAGAACTGGCAAATGGCAAAGCTGTAGGCGAACACAATGTTGGTGATGGCAATGAAGGCCTCGGCAAAGGTGAGACCGTCCTGGGGCCACGCGGACCAGGGAGCGGTGGTGATGGAGCCCTTGTTGATGCCGGTGGCAATCATGGTGATACCAATGGCCAAGATGATGGAGACAAAGTCGATGTATCCCAGGATAGCAACCTCGGCGAAGGAGGGAGGGATGGCGAGGATCAGCAGAATGATGGCGGAGACGACGGCGAAGACGATGGAGCAGGCGCCGTTGTTGGTGATGTTACCAAAGGCGATGGCTCCGGTGAGGGTGTGGGAGCTAACCAGGAAAGTCAACTGCAGAGCGAACATGGCACCAACGAGTTCGTAGCCGAAGCGGCCCATCATGAGCTGGCCGGCGTCGGCGTAGTGCGAAACGTGGGGGAACTTGAGCTTGACCTGACCGACGACGTCACTGGTGTAGATGGCGATGAGACCGAGACTGATGCAGAGGATGACGCCAGGAACCATGCCGAGGGTAGCGAAGGCGGCGGGGAGACTGAGACTGCCGAGAGCGATGGCCTCGACGATGAGGACGACGGTGAGACGCTTCCAGCCGAGGCGGTGGAAGTGGGCGCTGCCCTGGGCGGCCTTCTGCTTCTCCAGGTCCTGGCGGTTGAGGTCGGTGACCTCGCCGACGACCTCTCCGGGGAAGACGGCATCGCGGGAGAACTGGGGGGCGACAGCGGCGCCGTCCGCCTTGGTGTCCTTGCCCTCAGCCCCGCGGGACTGGTTGTTGATCTGGTCGTGATCCATTGCTGGTGTTGGTGATGTTGGTATTTTTGACTGTTGTGTAATGGATGGCTGGATGGATGGATATGCTCCGTGGGGCCTAGTAGGGCGCACGATTTTTCACACACGAGATGGCTGGTGTCGTTGGTGTGGAGAGAGCCGGACCGACTTGGTTGGTGGCGAGTAGACAGACCTACACAGGCGCGTGCTCTGGACTCTGGAGAGAGAAGAGAGGAGAGACCGGGTTGAGCTGGTCGCGAACGGCAGTTGAAGAGTCTGGAAGGACCGAAGAGTGAGAGAGAGACTGTCGAGTGCCTGGTTGGACTGAAGAAGGAGAGAGGAAAGACAACTCCAAAAAGATGGGAAGGTGGGAGGAGGATATATGGTGGCAAGAGGCGGAGCATGAGCCAGAGCCAGAGCCAGAGCCAGAGCACCGACCCCGGAGTCAGGCCGAGGAGAAGATGGGACAAGAAGAGAGGAGAGGAGAGGAGAGGAGGGCTCGATGGAAGCCTCGCCCTTCCCTCCGCCGTCTCGACTGCTCTGAGAGGACAAGTCCTAGTTGGAGGAGACTCTTCCCCTTCCACTTCCATGCAATCAATGAACGAACATGGACTTGTTGAACAAGGGTCCTTATCTCTGGCCCCCCGCGATCTTGGAGCGGTGACACCGGCAACGGACGAATGTGAGTGGGCGGGATGGCAATTGCAAGGCAAGGGATGGGTTCATGGAGGTTCGTCAGCCCGGGTCATGATCGATGCTCTATCACAGAAAGCTCGTCCCATCCCATCATCCCCGTCGCCTCTATGATTCCGTGCGTCGTGATTTTGCGGGGGAATAGACCGTTGCAGACTTTCCCCGCGAAATCGACCAGCGTCCCTGAAATTCCAGACGCACTGTTGAAGGCGTCCCGAGTTTCCCTGGAGAAGCAACGGCCAGAACCACGACGCTGGTGCTCGTTGCGCCGGCCATTTGTCAAAGAAACCAGGTCTGCTCGCGAGGGCCTGCGAGGCAATGCGGGACTGAGGCAATTCGAAAAGTTTTGACATCGTAATAGAGTGGATTTCGTGACCTCTGCTTTACCTAATGGACCCAGCAGAAGAGCCGCAGAGTGGCCTCACCTTGCCCCTTGAGTCAGTCCATACCCACGATCAGCCCCGAAATACGACCGGTGGCGCTGGGAAGAGCTGGCACAACTGGGATTGCGGATGGGTGTATCGTCAGGCATGCGTGTTATTGCCGTCTGGACGGGAGAAACTCTGCGCTCGCTCAGTCCGCCTGCTTCGAAACCCAGGCCAGGTGTGAGTGACGCACACACAGCAGAGCCACCGGCCACCAGACGTTGGGCCAAGAGTGTGAGGCTCAATCTCTTCAGACGGGAAGCAAAGCCAAGTTGGCGATTGCCGAGCAAGGCAAGGGGGGAGCGGCATGGTGGCATGAGCCGCTGCTAGCCCTGGCGCGAGAAGTCCTTTCAAGGCTGCCCGTCTGTCCGTTCTTGCAGTGTTCCTGAATGCGCTATGCCGCTCGTGGGAGCAATGCCGCTTACCCGCAGCCGGCTGCAAAGAAAAACGTAATAGCGCGGGTGATGGTCCCGTAGAATCCCGACGTCCTCGAGTCGTCATCCTGGCCGGTGCCCACCCACACCGTCGCACAGAGTCGTGCATTGGGAAGGCTTCTAGAAGATCGACTCGAGGGCGGAAAAGGCTTGTCGACGCCTCCGACGTCGTTCCCTGCAACGTGAGTGGCCGACTACCGTGTCGACGCGGGTTGCCCCTGCACAAATCTCACTTCTCTGCGCTGTTGGCGACGCGAGGGTGAGATCTCTCACGCGACGGGGACTTTGGGAACACCCATGTCGACGACCAGAGCCATGAACTCAGGGCGGAACTGGCTGCAGACCCTTTTTTTTTTCTTCTTGGTATTTTTTTTCTCATCTCATCTGCTCTTGGGACAATGTGAGTGGCCAGCCGTGTTCTGGCGTGAATAAACTGACATCTTCCCATTACCAACCGCAGAGATAATGGTTTCGGGCCTCGTTGGGGCCTTCATTAACGAGAGAAATATTCGCCGAATTGACCGACATGCGACGACGCGGTGGCAAGCAAGACGGTAAAGCCGGTTTCAAGATGAAAATGATTCGAGGCTTGATTCCTTGAACCAACTGTCAGCAGTGATCACTGATAAGGCTTGTTTCCACAAACGAGTTTCAATTAAGAACAAGAGTCAAAGATAGCTCGACGGGCGCGCCACGGGCAAACCGACATTTGATGGCCTGCGTCTCTAGCGGACCCGAAGGTTTGCGCGTGCATTGCAGACACTCGGCCGACGTGCCGCGAAACCGAGCATGCTTGTGCTTCTCCTTCACCTTGCACAAACAGCGTACGAATGGCTCGGACGCGGTTTGCGCCGGGCTTTTCTTCGCTCCTCTGCCACTCAACAGGGGGCACGCAAAAGAGAAACAAGGGGTCAGGCAGGCAAGCAGGGTGAAAGGGGGGCTGGTCCATGGACATGGGCATGGGGGCTTGTTGAGTGAGCAGCAGAGGAATGGATGGATGAGAGGGGTTGGGACGAAGCCATTGGCAATTCCAATTGTGTGATGGAATCCGGGGTAAAATATGCGGGGATGGGGCCAGTTGGATGCAAAAAGGGCAATTTTGAGCGCCCAAGTGCTCTCAATTTCTCCATATTGTCAGCAATCCAACGCACTCGTCCCCGTTGCCTGCGGCGACTGAGTCGTGCCACCCTCACCCTCCCGCCGACAGGACGAACGCATCAACCGCCGATATTGCTGCAATACGGGTCATACCGGTCGTTTCTTCGCCGACAAGCGGGACGGCGTGTCTTGACATGGTCCTCGAGGCCAACACCCTCCGATGCCACGACAGCTTCAAGCCTTCAACCAATCTCGTTGTCGTTATTTGACCGCCGAACGGGACGGGTACTCCGTTGCTGCGTGTGACTCCCCCAGATTTCCTCCAGGACCGGCAGACATCGCTCGTCCCGCCAAAGAAATCCCGCGAGCATCTGCTGTAAGGTTTCGCGGTTACATCGCTCTATGGGCAACACGTCGCCGGCTCTGTCCAGAACCTTGTGCAATCTGGAAGCGAACCACTGGCGGTCTTCTGTTGTTCCGGATCCGACGATACCGACGAAGAGGATCCAGAGCAGGGCGGCGTCGTGGGAGACCCAGATGAGTGCGATGGAGTCTGCGTCGTCCAGCGCGGCCCGCATGCGCGCTACCAAGAGCCGGATCATGTGCCCGGTTGTCGGGATCTCTCGCAAGACGACGTACAGAAAGACGTGAGCCGCCGCGACCAAGACGAGGAACCGCTTCTGGACAGGTGTCGCTGTTCGACGCTCCACGTACAGGAAGTGCAGGATCGAGCTGTCTGCGGTGTTCATGACGATTCTGATGTCGTCTGCTGACACGGCCCCCGCCTGCGAGCAGATTGCTTGCCTCAGACTCACGAAAATCTTACGTGGTTCATTGCTCTCGTCGGGATTGTGGCCTCCGAGCCTGTCCAGGTGACGCAAGGGAGGTGTCATTGCGCGATTCACGACTGACGATGGCAGAGACACCTGGTCGAGGGTATGGAACATGGGAAATTTCGGAATCCTCCCCAGACCGGACGCCACTTGAATGTCAATCCTGACGATGGCTTGGTGAGCAAGAGTCGAATTGATGAAGAGGAGTCTGGGGAAAAGGTGGAGAGCCCTACCAGTTGATGCAACGGCAGAGGATGTAGTCGTGTTTGATCGTGTCTGGCCCGCCTCGGGCCTCCATCATGGAATGGAGTCCGGTCAGGTGTACCTCTGCTGCTGCAAAATGGCCCTGGAATGCCTGAAAGTGTGTGTCAGAGTTTTGGAGCGCGTTGGAGGCATATCCCAAGGACCAAGGTAGGTACACTGACTTCGACGCTTCCCAGCATGGCCACGCCGGCGAGTACGGACAGGTCGTCGCTTGCGCTCTTGGCAGACTCTCGAGACCCCAGCCGGGTCCTGATGATGCGCATGGCCTCTCCTTTCTGTTGGTATCCTTCGCGTTGGAGCTTCGGATCGAGTGAGGGCATCGTCGCCGTCAAGAACTCGGCCGCCAGAGCGAGCGTGACGCGCATGATGAGAGCACTCTGCATGGCGTAGGGAAACCATGGTCTCTGCTGGTCAATCGTGGTCGAATTGAGGTTGAACCTTGTGATGACTGTGGGGTCAGCGTCTAGCATCCGTAGATGGTCTGGACGTTCAATCCTAAGGCGGAGGTTCATCTTACAGTATCGGACCAGGGAATCTACCTCGGAATTGCTCGGGATGGGCAGCGTGTTGAAGGGGTCTGCGTTATCACTACCCAGCCGCTGGACCCAAGGAGGCAAAGAAGCCTGCGTCACGGATTCAAGTGAATTCTGCAACGACTGACGAGGAGTCATCCGTGACGCATTAGTGGAATGAGGTGTTGTGGTTTGTCTTGGCTTGGCCCTGGAGCTTTGCCCTGCGGAGGTAGGTCTCGCAGGAGTCGCGGGCAGTCTGAACCGGCCCTTCAACTGGGCCTTGCGCTTGATGGTGTCCTGAGATATCAGTGCCGTATTGGTGTACAGCTCAGCGGCACCCTTCTGGATGGCCGTCCTGATAGCATGGCTTCGGACGGATTTGTTTGCCGGCTGGAATTCTCCCTCGTCGGCACCAAAGTTGACAAACTTGTACTCGGGCGGCGGGGTCATGGCAGGCACCTCCTCATGGACCGATGCGGCTGGAATGCGGGAGGGCGGAGAGCAGCACGGCAAGGCACGGCACGGCACGGCAGAGCTTGCATTAAGGGCCGTGCTTTCCTCCGGCGCAAACCCGGGCCTCGATCGGGGGCAAAGGCGGAGGCGGAGGCGGAGGCGGAATCGGTGCGGGGTCCAAGTCGGAGACGGGCCCGGGGCGGGAACGCTTGTGAATGCGTGCTTTGCCTTGTTACCAGGGAGGGGACTGGCGCCGGGTATGTGCAGTACGTATCCTGTAACGTGTCAAAAATCGTGAGAATGGTCCTGGAGTTAGTAATCAAATACGAATGTGGTCCGAGGTCAGAGAGCAGACAGCGCGAAGGATGCTCGGTGGGTGAGATGCAAATGCAAATGCATGGCTGAACGCCAGCAACGCAGCCTGCGCAGGTGGTTTTCAGTACGTACTTATCCGCCAAGAAACACTAGCCAATGACATCTAGGCGCTTGTGTCAAAAGTGGAAAGCGTCTGGCTTTGATTGGCTTGCCGCAAATGACTCGGGCGCCATTCGTCCGTCCGAGGGCTTTTCTTTCGTCTCTGCTGCTCTGCTTCGTCCGCTTCGGCCTCCGCCCGGACGAAATATCCGTAAGCAGATGAACAACATCACGATAGCAATGAGACAGCAGCTGGCGTCGTGGGAGGTGCGGTGATGCAATTCTCTGTGCGAAGGGCTCTTTTCATGGCTGGCTTCGGCCAATTCGCCTGGCTGCACAACTTTGACCAACTTTCACCAGACCACTGGCCACAAACCGTCTGACACTGCACTCATTTGATGCTGCAACCCTTTGCTGTGTTGGTGAACCCACCATCGTACTAACACCATGGACGAGCGCCCCTCCAAGAAGAGAAAGGTCCGCAAGGGGACACGCAGCTGCTGGCAGTGTGAGTTCGTCCGTCCGAGAAACATCCCCGCCGCCCCGAGACCCGAACATCGGTTTAGACCCCAGACTCTGGGTTTCGGACATGGCGGATGTGAACATGGCCTGGCCCGCTGACATGTCATCCAGGCAGGAAGAGAAAGATCAGGTGCGAGTTTGCCTCTGACCAAGAACAAACCTGCGCCGGCTGCAAGACAAGGGGGACCACCTGCGTGAGCCAGGAATTCATCGACGACGAGCCGTCTGGTCCTCCCGAGCGTGGCCTGGCCCAGCGTCTCGGTCGGCTCGAGGAGTTGATGGTCAAGCTGGCCGACAAAATAGGCCCAGAATCGTCCCCCGAAAAGGTCATCACGCCAGCCACCTCGCACACGTCTCCTCGTACTTCAGAATCTCTCTACACCCCAGACAGCCGCGTCCAGACGACCCAGAGTGCTTCTGTCGCACCTCAGCTTCAACAACCAACCCCTTCTAAGCCGACACAAGAATCATCCCAGCCTACGCCAAAGCATGAGAAAATATGCAAGGAACTATACTCAATGTTTCCGTCAGTCCAAGACGCCAGGACAATTATCGAATCGAGCAGGGGTCCGATATTTGTCCTGATCTTGTTCTACTCCAACCAAGACATAGCCGACAACAAGTCGCCGTCGCTGGCATCCCTCTCGACCATGCCTGACATCACCAAACACCCAGCCATATTAGCCAAGCGCCTTCTTCAGTTGACCATCTGTCTCCAGCAGTTACCGCCATGCTTTGACGCCTCTCGGCTCTCCCTCAAGGATTCCATCCAGGACACCATGGCCGAATGGAGTGCAGTCGCAAGCCAGGTAACCTCCAACGACGACCTCGTCGGCTCCGTAGAGGGCCTTGAGTGCCTCATCTTGCAGGGCTTCTACCTCATTAACTCGGGCAACCTGCGTAAAGCTTGGCTGACGATGAGAAGAGCTCTGAGCCTCGCACAATTAATCGGCATCGAGCGGAACGGCGGTCGGCCGCTGAAGTCTTGTGACCCCTCCACCAACCCGGCAATGATACCCTCGTCGCACCAACTCTGGTACCGAATTAACTTCTGCGATCGCTACTTGTCTCTGCTGCTTGGACTGCCTGCCGGTACACAAGACAACAGCTTCATGTGCGAAACCTACACGGGTAACGACACACCCATGGAGAAGCTGGAGAAACGTTACACGGCCGTATGCCTCCGCATCATTGACAGGAACCACGCGTCCACCAGCGAGGGATACGCCATGACGCAGTCCATCGACTGCGAGCTTGAGCATGCGGCGAAGACCATGGGCGCAGGATGGTGGGAGATGCCCCCGATGTCGACCTTCGCCGATCCGGAGACGCAGATGACAGTCATGTCCCACCTGATGCTGCAGATTCACCACCACAGCCTGCTCATCCTGCTGCACCTACCTTATATGCTCCGCAATCCGACAAACAACCGCTTCGACTACAGCAAGCAAGTATGCTTAGAGTCAAGCCGGGCAGTGCTCAAGCGCTGTGTCGTATTCCGCACGGCGAACGATGCCGCCTTCTCCTGTCGCCACATCGATTATTCCTCTCTCATGGCGGCAATGACACTGTTGCTAGGCCATTTGAGCCGCCCGCCAGGAGTCAGGGACGATGAATGGGCCCTGCAACGCGATGAAGACAGGGCGCTGGCCCAGACCGTCATGGAGAAGATGGAAGAGCTGGCCGACTTAAACGACGACAAGCTCTCGGGGGAGAGCGCCGGAATCATCAAGCAGCTGCTGCCCATTATCGATTGCTGTAGGAACTGCCTGACGACGGAGACGGGCGAGGAGTGGAATCTCAAACTGAGCATTCCCTATCTTGGAACAATCAACATCAAGAACTCGTCGGACCAAAACGCTCAGTCTCATTTGGTGGATCTAAGCCATTCCCAGCTCCCAACGCCGTCGAACACCACTACGGTCTCGCCGCCTTCATTCCCGTCAAACCAAGAAACCCCGCCCATGGCGTCTGTGGATGCTCTTCTCGGCCAGGAGTTCAACACCACTCACGGAGACATATACACCGGATTCAACGCCGACTGTCTGGGATGGCAATGTCCCGGTATAACGGCCGAGGTTGGCGACTGGGCGTTCCAAGGCGTCGACACGACATACTGGTCCCTCTTGTACCCTGGCATGTCTCCTAGTGGATTTACGCAATGATATCGCGTGGTATTGGGCTTGTCGGAAAGCGATCCGGTGGGCAGGGAGTCTTGAACATTTCTTTACCATGACATGCTCATGCTCGTACTGGGCTGTCGTTAAACATGGATCCAATATACCCAACTCCATCTTTTCCGCAATGGTAGATACGCAATGGCCCAGTTGGGCCCGGGTAAGCATGGAGAATAGACCCAAATAACGCATGCGCCTTTCTCCAAAGAGAACCATGCGCCTCTCGACTTGATATGACCCCTTTCTGGTTCCGGATGATGTTTGTTCGTGCCAAGCAATATTTTCGCGGCACCGGCAGTGATGTGTGTCGATCTCGTAGCCGTGCCGCTTCGAATCGGAGGCACAAGCTCCGGATCTTCGTCTCATGTATGGATGTCGCCAAAACAGAGCCATGCCGTTCGCAATCGTGTGAAAAATGTCATATTTCTTGTGACAAGCTTAATTTAAAGTAGATTGGCAACATGGGTATGTGTCTCTTCCGGCGAATCGGCTATTACTCCTTGCATGCACGACTTCTGCCGGGAGATCCTATCGACTACGGCCCTTGTTCGCATCCAAACGACTGCAGCCAATCCACTTTCATGAAACATGTCATGCCCCCTTTTTCCATTAACAACGGTCAATCTTCGGGTCTAGACAGCCGGTCCGACTCCCCTTGGCGGTGGAAACATCGGCCATGGCCTCTATGATTAGCCGCTTGGTCGTCGTCCTGGTTCAAAATCAAGGTCACTGATATGCAGGCTTGATGTGTCCCTTGGAGAAGGAGACATAAAGTTGACGGTCTTGCCTGTAATCTCAGATTCCGTGCCGCTGGATACCACTCCGCGGGGGCGAGACTGTTCCCGTTTACCCAGGTTGTTCTATAGTCATAGCCCCTCAAACTCGTGAAGAACTCCTCCGTGGTAGCATCGTGGAGGCAGGGGCTCCGGGCCGTCTCCGTGCAAAACACCCGCGGATGACCGTGACGAATGTTACAGTCCAGCTCCATGGTGGCTCTGAAGACAATAAATGAAGCTGGGCACTCGCAACGCCCGAGCTGTTGTTTGCTCAACCACCGCTGCCACTAAGCTTCAGCTCGCCGCCTCACAACTTGCAAGCCATCCATCATGAAGGTCTTTGCCATCGCAGCCGCCTTGTCGGTGGCCGTCTCCGAGGTGTCTGGCCACTACATCTTCCAGCAACTGGGCGTGGGCTCTTCCAAATTTGGCGTTTTCGAGCACATTCGCAAGAACACCAACTACAACTCCCCCGTGACCGGTACGTTGTTTTTGCGAAAAGGCGATTTGTAAAGAGCATCAGCCGGACTCACGAAAATCCCAGACCTTGCGTCCACGGACTTGAGATGCAATGTAGGCGGCGCCAGCGGTGCGCAGACGACCGTCACCTCGGTCAAGCCTGGCGGCTCGTTCTCCTTCACCCTTGACACAGCCGTCTACCACCAAGGCCCGATCTCTCTGTGAGTTTCGAATAGATCAACTGGAAGACCCCGCACTCATTTGTTCGAAAGATTCCTTTCCAAGGCGCCGTCTCACGTTCAGGACTACGACGGGTCTGGAAAATGGGCCAAGTTCAAGGACTTTGGCCCGACCTTCTCCAACGGCCAGGCCACATGGCCGATGTACCGTATGACACGCCCGCGATTCCCATCACGAGTTTGATACTGACCCCAGCAGAAACATACGAGGCCAAGATCCCGACCTGTCTTCCCAACGGCGAGTACCTGCTGCGCATCCAGTCGCTGGCCATCCACAACCCCTGGCCCGCCGGCATCCCTCAGTTCTACATTTCCTGTGCCCAGATCAATGTCACCGGAAGCAGCGCGAGCGCCTTCTCACCGACGCTGAGCATCCCCGGTGCTTTCAAGGAGACTGACCCAGGATACACCGCAAACAGTACGTGTGCTCTGTTCGAATGTTGCGCGTACGATGCTGACAAAATCTCGCAGTCTACAATGGCTTCACTTCTTATGAAGTCCCAGGAGGCAGCGTGGTAAGTACTGAAACAGTCTCGATTCTTATTTTGATGCTAATCATCCGCAGTGGAATTGCTAATTTGTGATATTGGGGTTTATGTTGTACATATTTGACCTTCCTTTCTCTCGGTGCGTGATTAGCCTTTTGAGTTGGAGGTTGGAACATGCAAAACATGCAAATTCAAGTGGTTGCAAAGCTGGAAAGAAATGTGGAAAAGTAGGCCGACGTAAGATTCGGCGACGAAGCCATCTGTAGCCCATGCAATTCACATTGATGCACAGTCACTTGGCATGTACTGCGAAGCATTGTCTCTCCATGTTGTCCATCGCTCGACCCAGACGTGACCTGTGACGGCGAGGCAACTCGGACACACCAGTACCGTCGAAGAATCCTTATCAAAAATCATGACTTGCTTGAATATCTTACCAGGGCCAGAATATCAACATCTTGGCGTCATCGGACGTTTTATCACGGGATGTCTGGACTTACCCAGAGGCATACACCAGATCGATGTTAGTGCCCTCAGGCGCAAACAAAAGGAGCACAACATCCTCGTAACACGGAAGAAATGGCCGGCTATTTCAACACAGTCGCATTGCCATGGTCTCGGCAATCTAAACTCGACACCCTCCTGAACTAATAAGGCAAGTGCCGGGATCTCAGTCCGTCCATGGGCCCCTCCGGATCAGGGGGAACTCTCCCCACCAGCCCAGACTTAGGAAGACTTCTACATACCACCAAACAGCAGGCTCACGGCCATTAAAGCCAGTCGCCGCGCGCTTGTTGCATATCTCTTCAGAAAGAACTTCGATCCAGCCACGGAATCGTAAAGCCGCTACTCATCAGGTCCAACATGAAATCACTCACTCCAATCCTCGGCGCTCTCGCCACATTATGTAGCCTCACATCGGCTCACTGTCAGTGGAATCAGTCTTCTCTTTCATCAGCGTGTATTGATTGATATGCTCTCTTAGACCGCTTCACGAGCTTGGTGGTGGGAGGCACCAACACTGGCGAGTACGTCAACGTCCGCAGAAACACAAACCACAACAGCCCCATCACCGACGTCTCGAGCAAAGATATTGTGTGTAACGCCGGCGGTCTCTCCTCCGGATCAGCCACCAAGATCGCTACTGTGGCGGCAGGCTCTACCGTAAGCGGCCGGCCCGAACACGGAGAGTCAGGACTTTGACTGTCGTTAACAAGCAAATAGGTTGGTTTCGCCATGGACCAGTCCATTTACCACGACGGTCCTGTGATTGTGTGGCTGTCACCCGCAGGCTCCAGCAATGTCACGACGTACGACGGTAGCGGACCCTGGGCCAAGATCTGGGAGCTCGGCGCGGAGACGGGTAACGGGCAGATCAAGTTTCCCGCCTCAAACCAAGCAGCCTTCAACTTTCAAATCCCCTCATGCACGCGTAGGTATTCCACTTGTGTAGAATGTCGGCCGCAAGGAGCGTAACTGACTTGTCAACAACAATAGCCCCCGGAGAGTATCTCCTCCGCATCGAACAGATTGGCCTGCACTCAGCCAGCGCCAAGGGCGGGGCCCAGTTCTACATCTCATGTGCCCAGATCAAAGTGACCGGCTCTGGAAGTGGTCAATTCTCTCCGACGGTCAGGTTTCCGTAAGTGTCCAGTGTGGACGGCTTGTAGTTCTGGTATCTGACAGATGACAGGGGCGTGTACACTGGCAACGAGCCTGGAATCTTGATCAACATCTACTATCCCGTGGTGAGTCAGACCGAGGACTATTGCAACTTCGTAACACTGACAAGGTTGTCCAGCCAACTAGCTACACTATCCCAGGAGGTCCCGTAGCCAAGTGTTAAAGTGCGTGTTGGTCGTGCAAGTAGGCGGCGCTATGAGGCTTGCCGCGTTCTCATCTCGACAAGGTGTTATCAGGTCACATAGCAAAGAAACCAAATGAATGTTCACAGATATTGATTGTCTACACAGAGTCTGCATGCTTCATGTTCATACATCTCGTGTCAGTGGCATTGCTGCCAGATGTCAGCCCTGACTCTTCGCCCGGCTGGTATCACTTGTAGAGGTGAAGTAAAAAGAAAAGACCATACTCCACGGCTAAAAGTAGTAACGCTCTTCCGTCCAACGCCGCAAACCCCAAACGAAGACACCATCGTCCACAGGGGGCTCGCCCAGACAAAGGGAATGACAGAACCCCGAGGAAACACCATAAATCATAAAATCCTAATCATCTCAAGACGGTTACCGCATGGGCCCGTCACCAGGTGCAATGCTGCGCCGATCCCGCACCCACTCAAGGATAGGGGCTCCACAGTTGTTCGGGAGTACCGGGATACTCCATATATGACTCGGTGGCCGGGCTCGAAGTCGCGATGGGGTTGGTGGTTCGGTAGGCGTTAAGCGCGGCCATGTCAAGAATCAGGTCGTTGGCGCCATTCATGTTGTTCCAACTCGTTGACGACTGCTCAGTCACCTGGCTGGCGCGGAGGCGGCAGCATTCATTGGCCAGCAGCCTGTAGGCGCAGCAGAGGGCGTCGTTCTTCTGGTGCATATCGTCGATCTGCTGCTGGAGCTCCTCCAAGCGTTGCTCCTTGCGCTTACGGTACGCGCGCTGGTTAGCCCGGTTTTGTGCGCGTCGTTTCTGAGGGTACAGTGTAAGTGGCGCGTCTCAAAGCGACTGAACGGTGTCAGATTCACTTACTGAAAGCACGGTCTCGCTGCAGTTCTTGTATCTGTTGGCGCGTCGGCTCTTCTGAGAGGCCTTGTCGAGGGAGCTTTCCGACGTTGATGAGTGGCTGCAGTCATCATGAGAGTCGCCAGCCTTGTTCGTATCGACACTTGATGTGGGACTCGGCGGGCAAGACCATAGTGAAGTCGGGGTGCAGTAGCCGTTTCCGTTCGTACCCTGCGGTTCAAACGTGAGCTTTATGAATTTTCAACGGGCGGGTGACTGATGAACGAGGACTTACGATACGAGCTGCGAACTGAGAGGCAATGAGGTCATAGGCAGTGTTATTCGGGCCCATGGGCGGGAAGCCGGTGGCCATGGTGTAAGGAGGGATCTCGGGTGATGTGCTGTTCATTGTGTATGATGAGCTTGCTTCTTTGATGGACAGTATGAGGTAAGTCAGGGTCACGAAGACGATGACAGATTACAAGTCAAGAGTAGAGAGGGAACAACGATGAAGATGGATCCGTGGGATGGATGAGAAGGGGGCGTGGAGGTGGAGGGCATTAGCGGGAGTTGAGAGGCGAGGGTGGGTGGACGGGAGGATTATATATCTGGCGGGACTGGAGAGAGCATCATGAAGTAGAGCAAAGCAAGATATCCGAGGGTAAGAAAGATGCGACGATGGAGCCCAGGGCAGGAGGCTATGGACGGAGCCAATGGGGGAGGGTGTTAATGTCAACGAGACTCCCCATCTCATCTCAGAGCCGTTGCATTCTTTGGGATTCGGTATTCGGTGCCGCGCCGGTCTACGGTATGGAACAGTGGGGCCTCCCCAGTGGGTGGACCGTCCGAGTGTGGGTGCAGCTGGGCCGTGTTGTGTTGTGTTGTGTTCAGACTGAGTGTACGTGGTATGTGTCTGTCTGTCTGTCTGTCTGTCTGTCTTGCACCAAGTCAGGCACATGGCGGTAGATGTCGGTCAAACGCCTACTTGAGCACACACATACACATAATACCTTAGCGTGTAAATCAGGGTACATACAAGACGTGAACCTGGCGGGGAGTACTGTGCGCGGTGTGTGTGTGTGGATGGGCGTGGTTGGGTTGGGTTGGGTGTGTGCGTGTATGCAGGTATGTGAGTGTAATATCCATCTGATCCCGGGACGCCGGAGATCATCGCGTGGTCTGCAGAGGGTCGAGGCCGGCGATGAGCGGAGACGCCCCGGGAATACCTGGAAAGCGGGTCCCAGGCCCCGGTACGTATCCGCCCTCGCTTCTTCTGTCGGTGCCGCGACTCTGTCATTCTCGCGAACCTACTCGACAGACTGCCGCAACCTTTTCGTGTGGTGCTGCGGCTTCTAAACTACGTGCGGCTTAGCTTCGGAACGAGCCTGGCGCACCTTAATTTTTATTTTATTTTATTTGCATGTTTTTTTTTTCTGTAGGCAGGGGGGAGCAGTAAAGGCACAGGGCAGGGCAGGGCGCAGGGAACTGGCTGGCTGACTGGCAGTTAACTAAGGTATCGATTGTGGTCTAGAGAAGCTGTGTCCAAAAGCTGCAAGACGCGAATAGAAGCGAGCTGGAGCGAGACCGGCCTCATCCGGTATGATGTCATTTGTGCGCGGAGATGCAGCAAGCAAGCAAGCAACGGATGGCTGGCTGGCTTGGGCCATCAATGTACTATGTATTCATAGACATGCTGCAACTTCTGACATGTGCAGCACCAAAGCCCATCAACACCAAGCAAGCCCCGTCAAACTCGGTACCAAACCGCAGCGTCACTTGCGCACAGAGAACTGCCTGTACTAGTGCGGTCTCAACATTTGATTCTTACTGCAATTGCTCCTCTTCTACCTCTCAACCGTCCGTGAGGAAATGGCGTATTGTGCACACGACATGAACCACAGACGACGGCAGACCAGATCGGAGACGTGCGCTACATACGTGGGTCTTCTGCTAAAGGGCTTCTCCCGGCATCTCGGCGTCTCGCAAAACCGATGCCATCCTGGCCCCATGCCCCCCCCCCCATTATTCCCAACCGTTCACCCATGGATCATGGATGATGCTTCCCAGGCCTTTTCAGCTGAAGGCGCCAAAGAAAACAAAACGAAAACCCTGTGTTCAACGTTTGCGACAGACGAGTCAATTCAAATCCCCATCCCCTCACGCCCTCTGGTTTGTGGCGGCTTGTTCACCCACCGGCCATGCCCACCCACCGTGGCTGAAGTCAAGCGCATGAACCGCTCGTAAAGCCCAAAAGGGAATACACATTCGTCTGGTGCTATTTCAGTTTTTACAGCCGTTGCCCATTCCCAAGTTTGATGTTCAATCCGTATCGCAACTATGCTGTGCTGATTCGTGTTGGTTTGGCCACAGTGAACAGTGCCACCACCATCACCGGTGCCCTTTCGGCTCCGCGAGACTGCGCATTAGCCTACTCTTTAGCCGCCGTCGGTCTGCTTCTCTCAAACTCTGGCGCCGCGCCTGGTGATGCAAAGTAGCCATGTACCTGCTGCGAATACATGCAGACCTGTAACGAACGAGTGAGTGGGCTTCAGCCCTAGCAAAACGGCGAAGCCTCCCCCTACCCGTCAGACCCGTCAGACCCGGTTGAAGCCACCCAACCGGTGGCATCGATTCGGCCATTGACGACTTTCAGGAAAGCTCGGGTACGTCGGATTCGCGTCGGCCGCGTCGGCGTCGGCGTCAGGGTCGGCAAGCGGGCGGCTGGCTGGTGGACCACGGGATGTGAACAGAAAACAGCGCAAAAATAATTCCCAGTAATTCCCATCGGGAGATTGCCAGAGGGTGGTGGGGACCTGGGACCGGGTATGCAGAGACTAGAGCATGTAGACTGTGGTGTAAACACACCCTCTACACCACCCATGATCCATCATCTCCATCATTTGGACGTGGGAACTCGTAAAGATACGGGTACATGGTACGTCGCACACATACTGCGTACAGCATGCCCGGTCTCGCAAGGCTCCTTCCGGCTGACCACATCCACCAGCCAACGCACCTTGTCGCGTACTTGCCGTAGAACCTGGATTAAGCTTATCCACGAAGCCGTCATTGCCAATTGCTGGCCTGCTTGGCGGTTCGCTTGTACGGATACCTCTTCATCGTGCTTTGGTCCATGATCCGTCGCCCGGCTAAGCAGGAAGAATCCACTCCCGCCAGCACCAACGCTGCATAGAAGGCTTGGCGTCTTCCACTCCTTCTTCGGCGCAGCTTCCAATCACACACATCCCCTGCCACTCTCCCGTCCTCTGTGGATGTGATGGGTATAACTGGCTGACACCTGATCAGAGAACATCGTATCAGCGAGCACATACGTGATATGACTTAGTTTGACTATCGAGTCCATACTGCAGCCGCACGATTCAGTCTATGATCGTTTCCTTCAAATGTTTGCTAGACATCAAGGATGCTCCTCAAAAAGCCGCTCGAAGCTGCTCGGTGCCGAACCGCATAGCTTACGAACCACTGCGCCTGGCTGAACCTGGCTGAACCAACTCGCGCTCGGCCAATGTTTTTGAGCACAGGTCCCGCCGTCAACCTAGAGAAGCCGCGCACAGAAGACCCTGAAAATATCCATGGTATTCCCGAAAATTACGTCGCCAGCAGCCCAGAAACTCTGTTTAAAGCCGTTCGAACCGGGCTTACTGGCCTCTTGCATACCGCACACCCATGTTCGCGCCTCACATCAGCCTTTCTGCATGACCAGACCCTTATTTTTCATCCCCAACTTTCTCACCTACTCCACCGTATTTCTGTCTGGTGTACCAAGAATGAAGAGCCCAATTATGCTGCGGCCGGTGAGACGCTTTCCGACCTGCGGACATTGACGGAGGAAAGCGGGGCTTGATGCCGAACGCGTACCCACAATTGATCGGCGGCGCCACGGCCGATGATGCGGAGTCCCGCACGGAGCGTCCCCTGCATCTCCGCCTTCATCCCCGCGTCCAGGGGACAGGAAGATGTGAAGTACGTAACGACGCGAGCGAACAGGGAGTAGGGCGACATGGCACATACTGCCTGGTGCGTTTCACCCAACGGCTCCGAGGAGCAATACTGCCACCCACCCTCCCTCCCGCAACGACAGACAGAAACTGTAAACACTACGCAATCCTTCGTTCGTGATTTGGCTTTTTGCCCGCCGTCAGATTCATCAGACCAAAATTAGCCACCATCCGAAGGAGAGACGCATCACCCTCGTCTTTGAGTGGCGTTGGACCGCGCCAGCCGCCACACCGCCGCAACTCTCCTACCCCTCCCTCCCCCACCTTCTCTCACCTTCGCGACGCGAATCTGGCCCCGAGGGCCAAGCCACACATGTGTTCATGTTTGACAAGTTGAACCATGAAATCTGGGGTATTCCTGCTGGGGCCAATGGTCCATCTCGCCCTCCCATCTCGTCCCAACTTCGCTAGATCTATACGGGAGAACCGCAAATCACTTACCGCGCCATCGCGACTCGTCATTCTCCTCGTAAGGCGGGTGCCAGTTCCCTCAAAATGGTTGTGTTGCTTCGGCAAGAGATGGGACTGGCATCGGCTTCCTTGTTCTCAGGTCCTGTTTCTCCCAAGCCGTGTTCAAGGCGTTGGCTGCCTCCAACCCACCGGGCTGGAGAGAGTTTGCGATACTCGAGCCGATGGTTAACATGCCGTTGCCTTCGATGATTCCAAAGCCTGACCGCCTTGATCCGAGCCCAGGTCAGTGATGCCATTCCACGGAACCGCGTCGTCCCAAGACCCTGTCCCCCAGTCCTCCTGATCCGGGGGAGGGTGCCGTACAGCCGGACCACAAAGTATCGACATCCGTCCGCTGGTAGCTAATCTCCCCACATATCCGCGGTCCGGGGAGCTTTAAAGCAATGCGCTATCCGATTTTAGATTCGAGCCGCGACGGCTACCGGTTCCGATATCCGTTCAGGCAACGAGCGTGTAGATCGACAAGTTGCAAGCATAAGCTGCAGATGCGCTTATCACGGCTGACTGCCATGAGGCAGCTAATTTCGAACATTTTGAGTTAAAATAATAGAAACAGAACTAACCGCGAGCCTTCATCTGGTGAGCGAACCTAATATACGCCAATGGAATTGGAGGTGTCCAGTCCACCTCTTCAACAAGGACATCTGACGCAAAGAGTCTTTTACCAAAATCAGGCAGACGTACGTAAGAACAGGCATAAACTGGTTTCAATGAACAGTGGTTACGAGAGGGACAAACATCTATGGTACAAAGTGTAGAAGTAGAAAACCAATCCTCTTGTGGAATTGTGACTCGCAACACCAGCGAACGCCCAGGCATCAATCATGGGATCATTAAACTTCCAAGCCCCGTATCCATTGTTTTCCAGGTATCAAGCACTGTTTGCGAAGAACTTGGTAATCTTTTGAGTTCCGTCCTTGGCCTTCACAGGGCTCTTGCTGCCGTTACTCGTCGCGCTGATGCGGCTCTGCCTTGATTTCGTCGTCGGCCCCTTGGAGTGGATCTTCTGTGGCGGCTCATCGTCTTCATCCGCAGCAGGAGCCTCCCGCTTGACGCCAACCTCTTCCCGGTTTTCTGTGTCATCCGCCGCTTTGGCAATCAACTCAGGAACCGGCTGCGATTCACCGTCTTGTGACTGCTCTGGCTCTACTTTGACTGCAATGGTGGGTTCAACCTTGGAGGCCTGCGGCTTTTGCTTGGCCGACGCGTTGGCGAAGAAGTTCGCAATGTTGGATTTGTTCTCCTTGCTCGCGACGGGGATGATGAAGGATGGCGAGTTGTTGCCAACCTTGCCCACGTCCTTGGTGACCGGGTAGCATTCGAGCTCGCCGCTGAAGGGTTTCAGGAGGTCCTGCAGTTCCTTTGACCACTCGTGCCTTTGGGGGTCCAGCCATGTCTTGATCTCTTCCGATCCGGGATCGAGAATGACCGGCATTCGGTCATGAAGGAACTTGAGCTGCTTGTTCGAATCAGTCGTGATGATGGTGTATGTGTAGCGCTTCTCGTCAGAATCTGAAGGGGGATCTTAGCCCAATTCGTCTGCTCATTGAAAACACATGTTAACTCACCCTCGTATTTCACACAATCCCACAGTCCAGCGAAGCACATGAGCTGGCCGTCCTTCCTCTTCACGAAATGGGGGAGCTTCTCCTTGCCATTTTTGAGCCACTCGTAGAACCCCTGCGCCACAACTATGCACCTCTTTCCCGCCTTCATGGTTGCCCACATGCCACCGGGTGTGCTCAGTGAATCGTCACGGCAGTTGATCGTCTTTGAGAGCTGAGAGTAGCCGGGGTCGCGTTTGGTCCAGAACGGAATCAGACCCCATTGCATTGACTGCATCTTGTACTTTACGGAATCACGTTCTGGGTGGGATTGGCTCATGGAAGCCTGTGCCGGCGGTTGATTCTGGCTCTTGGCTGCGTGGTCGCGGCGATGACCTGCGCCGCGATCCGGGACGTCGGCCCGGTAGACGACGCCATGGTATCCCGGCGCAAAGTTATATGTTTGACGCGGAGCTCCCTGGCCTTCGTCTTCAGGCGCATCGTCAACAGGCATGTCCTCATCCTGCAACATGCGCCGGATCTGCGATGGCCGCTGTGCCGAAGGATGTTAGCTCACCAAAGTCCAGCAGAGAACGACGGGCGGGCGGACGGGCTCACCAGTGCTAGTGCATATCGTCCACACATGGTCTATGGTGAGACTGGAGCCGGAATCAGGACTTCTGCAATTATTGGAAAATTACTTGCTATTCTCACGGAGCGAAGATGTATGTCGTCATGCCGACGCAGGGTCCATTGGACTAATTGGCGCGCCTGAGACGCGCCAGCGCACATTTCAGTGGTATCACGTGATACTGCAATTATTCCTAAATCACCGTGATTATCTGAAGTAATCTTGCATTCTTGAATTTGGGTCTGTATGTAATGCTCTGCCATGTTGCGCAAAACAGCAATAAGTCACCAAGAATGTGTGTTTGTATCTACACGATGCCACCATTCAGGAGTCGTATTCAATGCAGCTCCAGCTGGACGCGGCATCCACATCCCCCTTGCCGTCCCACGTTGCATATCCAGGATACTTGCAGATCGGCCGTTGCCTCAAGATGCCGTTGCTGACGATATCGTTGGTATATTTGGTCGCAACAAGCTCGTTCACTCCTGAGCCGCCCTCCACCCAGGCAACCAGCGCAAGCAAAGCATCATGCTGGGTGTCGTCCAGTCCTGGAACAGGGAAAGCATGTTGCCCGTTCGTCTCCAGGTTTGACGCATGTCCACTGCCGCCAAAGTACCACGGCGCGTCGTAAACGCTTCCCGAGCAGTGTTGCATGCCCGGCACGAAGAAAAGACGGTAGAACTCGTCCAGGTCCACGCCCTGCTCCGCCATCGCCATCCAGGTCTCATCGTAGAGCACCCGGCTGACATCCGTGGGGATGAGTCCATCGGCGTAGCCGTGATATGTAATTAACTTGCCGCCTCGACCTCGGAACTCCGACAAGTTGAAGTTGTCCGCGTTGACGTTCCCCGGGTTGAGCCTTGCCGCCTCGACAAACGTGGAGTAGTTGAAGCTGGCTGTCCAGTCCCAGTTCAGGTCGTCAAACAGATAGTTCTTGGCGTAGTCGGTTCCGTACAGACTAGGCTCGTTGTTGGAACCGAATGAAGATGGCATCTGGAATTCGGACCCCAGTCCGAAGTTGGGGTAGATATACGTCAGGTTGTTGACATTCGCATCCAGCTGGACTAAGGGCAGGTAGAGCTGCTTAAGCGTCGCGACTTGCGGCGCCGTCAGACAGGCCGACAGGTTAGTCGAGCTTGATGTACAGAGCAACTTCTCGGGTCGGAAATTGCAATGTCTAGGATCCATGATGACCCCGTCAGCAACACCATCTGAGCCGTCGCACTGGCGGAGGACCTCATCGCTAATCACCTCGAACATGGAAGTTGGGAGATAGCCCGGCCCGTCTTCCGGCAGATTGATGGCGCCGACCTTGAGCTGCCACAATTGTTGGCTCGTCGACTTCCAAGCCGGCGCGCCAGCGAGGATGCCGTCAAAGTCTTCTGGGTGGGCCTGCGCCGACTTGACGCCCTGCCTTCCTCCAGTCGAGCAGCCCGAGTAGTAGGACTTGTTTGCCGCATTCCCGTAGTACCCCTCCACAATCTTCTTGGCCAGGACCGTCGAGCCGTGCAGACTACGGCCAGCCCAGTCGGCTTTCGTTTCGGGATTGTTTAGAGCCCAACTCATGTCTTGACTTGTCGAGTTGTGACCGGTTGACGTCGAGATGGTTGCAAAGCCGTACTTGACGCCGGTGCCCATGTCATACCAGTTGATGCCTCCGGAGAAGCCTCCATTGCCAACGGCGAGGAAACGCTTATTCCACTTGTCTGGCAAGAAGATACCAAAGGTATAGGATGATGTTGGCGAAGAGGTGACGTTGACTGTCGCGACGCAGAGGGAGGGAAGGTGGGTCGCGTACTTGGGATATGCAACATTTCCTGCCTCGCCGAATGTCCCGTTGTTGCTGACGGTGTTGGCCATCAACACTTGGGCGCTGTCATCCTGGCCAAGAAGACCACTGAGGCCGTCGACTGAGCAGGGGGTCGTTGTGTTCTGCGCCACCACCTCGACGGCGTGTGTGGCCGCCCACAGCGTGAGGCCGAGCAGACGCGGCGCAAATGGCATCGTGAACAACACACCAAGGACGATGTGCCAAGCTGGACTGAGCCCGACAGCTCGGCTCGGCGCCTCCATGCGCGTCTCCTTTATAGGGAAGGGGAAGCGTCCGTCACCGCGCGCGACCGTCGGGCCATTACTGGTATGTCGCTTTCATTCCGCCCGCTCATGTTCCTGGAGTCTCCGCAACCCATCTCATTGAACCCCACAATGTATGGGTGAAGCCTGTGGGGAGCGTTGTTCAACCCCGCATTCTCAATGCGCTAAACCCCTAGAGACTGATCAGATGAACATCTTGCGTGGAATTCACTCAAAGTCATGAAAAGCTTGCCTGTAAATGCAACCTTGGGGCGGCTTCCTGGATAAACAAAACCCCACAGGGGCGTGTCGGACGTATCCCGACATCGGTAAGTCTCCCTGGCATCTGCGGCAGAGAGAGTCCATTTAATCGTCTTCAATTGATCTAACTTTAAAACCCAAAGCATATCCTTGATGGGACCCGTTACAGAATTGTACAGTCCTTGTGCTGATGGACGCCATACCGTGATAACTCCTGTTGTCCCCATTTTAGACATTTCGACGCGACTTCCGCTTCATCGCCGTCTGGGCCGCCCACGCATCCTCAAATATTGTCTTCCGCTGTCCAACGTCTCCCTTCTCCAGAGCGAGGCGGCGGACAACGTGGAAAGCACCAGTTCCGACCGACATGGTCTGTCCCATGATAATGCACTCACTCACTCCCTCAATCTGATCCGTCTTCATGCCCGCAGCAGCCTCAAACAAATGGTCCGGCGTCTTCTCGAATGAAGCCAGTTGCAACACGCTGTCTCTCATCTTCGAGAGACCGAATCGCGTGATACCGAGAACCTCACCCTTGTATGTCATGACGTCTGCGAGCAACTGCATGTGACGCGGGTCAATGCCCATGTCTCCCATGACTTCGCCAATTTCGTGCGCAATCGTTGTCCTTGCGGCCTCGATACCCAACACATCTCGGCACTCCATGACGTTGTTTGACTTGACTCTCCGCCCTTCGACGCCCTCGGTGTTCATGCATTTTTGGAGCCCATAACCTTCAACGAGAACGGTGTGCGTTTCCTGTTCTGACGTTTGGATAATTGCTCGAGTCGCTTCTGGATATCCCGAAATGGACACGGTTGGGATCGTCCGACGGAGATAGTTGGCCCGTACCAGAAGATCGCCATGTTCATCCACGGGCTTAGCCTTGACGGATCGCTTCGAAGCGGCTGACTCGTCAAGACGTACGCGGATTTCGATCCTCCCCGGGCCAATGTGCATATCCTGCCTTGAGATTTTCATCTTCTTGTGCTTGCAAATGGCTTCCGCCACGTCGCCCAAGCCGATGCCCAGCTGCATGTTCGATAATGCATCCATGTCCACTTGCAAGACAACATTTCCAGACTCCGCAAACCATTCGTCTTCAATGTAGCTCAGGATGTCTTCGACATATGTCTTCTCAATACGAGCCTTGACGATTCGGGCGGCAGTCAGTTCCCTGTTCTGCACCAGCGGGCAGGTGATGACGGGCGTGCTAATTGTCTTGGAGGCGTTGATGATTTCCTTGATACGTGGGACACCCTGCGTGATACTCATACCAGCGACACCGGCGAAATGGAAAGTCTTGAGCGTCATCTGAGTACCGGGCTCACCAATCGATTGAGCTCCGACAGCTCCGACGGCGTGGCCTGGCTCAACATGTGCCTTCTTGTACTTCTCTAGGCAAAGTCGGATGAACATCCGTAGAGTCGTTTCAGAAACCTTGGCAACCTTGTCTGCGAAGGCCTTCTTTGCCTTCATCTCACTCTCGTCGACATCAACTTCCATGCTTTCGGCACCAGCTGTCAAGCCGGTGAGCTCCATGACGCGGCGGAGTTTGTTGGCGCGGCCGGCCACATAAGACTCAAGTGACCTTAGGAAATCTCTGGCACCCTCATGTTCGTCGGTGAATTTGTCTTCTTCGTTGTCGTAGTCGAGGACATCGTCGCCGACAAGGGCCTTTCTTGGATATCGGGCTCGTTCCACAGACAGCATGCTATCGCAATACTTGACAATCTCATCGGGGAGAAGAGCAACCTCATCGTTGTTCCATGTCAGGTTTTCCGCGTGTGAGAAGGTTCGATCGAAGTTGACAGGCTTCGCCGATGCCTCCATGTCAACAGGATCGAGCTTGTCAGCACCAAATTGGAACTGCACAATGCCTCCGCCTGACGTTCGGACGGTGTCATCGTACTGTGTGGAAAGGTCCTCCAGCGACTTCATCAGTCGCCGAGACATGTATCCAGTCTCTGCGGTCTTGACAGCAGTATCAACCAAACCTTCACGACCAGACATGGCGTGGAAGATGAATTCGGTAGGAAGCAGACCTGAGTAGAAACTATTCGCAACGAAGCCCTTGGAGGGAGGCTGAGGAGCGTTCTTGTGGAAATGGGGAAGCGTTCTGTCCTGGAAGCCATCGGCAACACGTTTGCCGCCGATAATCTGCTGACCGACGAGGGCGACCATCTGCGCCACGTTGATCTCTGAACCCTTTGAGCCGGACTTTGCCATGACTAGCGGCGCGTTGTTCCTGCTAAGCGTCTCAATACAATGAGAACCTGCTTGAGTTCTGACCTTGCTGAGAAGTCCTGAGATGGAGTTCTCGAGGGTCTCTTCCATACTGCAACCCGTGGCCTTCTCGAGCTTGCCCTTCTTGTACTTGTCGATCAGCTCATCGACATCCTTGTTCGCGTCTTGAATCATTTTGCTCTTCTTTTCGAGAAGAAGTTGGGTGGGAAAAACATCTCCAACACCAATAGAGAAACCACGGTTTGTCAAATGGCGAGCACAGAGCTTGGCCAGGCGATTCATGGTTACCACCGCGGCATCCGGGCCAAAGTCTCTGAGAATGACGTAAAAGACCGAGTCCTTCTTTCCAGATCCTACAGTAGACTTGTCCATCCTACCGCACATGACTTCCGAGTTGCGAACGACAAGCCATCCGTCGTTCGGGTCCATGTCTGGACATTGTCCAGGCCTGGCCTTGTATTCTCTGCACTTGGCGTCCAGATTGACCTTGACAGGACTGTCTTTGTTGGGACGCATCATTATGCTGAAGACTTGCTTGCCTGTCCAGAGAGCCTGGGGCTTCAAAATGGCTGGGGGCGGGAGATCAAGGTGAACGTTTCCATCCATCATGTGCATGCAGATGTAGGTGAATGTTTTGCGGTCGAAGAATCTGTCCTTGCCACTCAGCAGGTAGGCAGCAGTGATGAAATCTTGCGTTGCCGCAATGACAGGCTCTCCGTTCTTTGGAGTTGCCAAGTTGTGTTTGACGCCCATGAGGTTGATGGCTTCTGCGCGAGCTTCTTCGGTCTGGGGAACGTGAAGATTCATCTCGTCACCGTCGAAATCTGCGTTGTAGGGGCCGCAGACACACTCGTTGAGTCGGAACGTCCTCCACGGCCGCACCTTAACCAAATGGCTCATGATACTGAGCTTGTGAAGAGACGGTTGACGATTGAAAAGAACAATGTCGTTGTCTTCAAGGTGGCGTTCCACGACATCACCAATCTTGAGGTCCTGAGCGACCTGATTCCTGTTGCCGAATCTCAGTGAGATCTTGTAGCCTCCATCATCGTTCTTGATGACTTGCTGTGCACCGGGCCAGATATTGGGTCCATTGCGAACGCATTCCTTCAATTTCTTGATGTTGTAGTCGGATACGCGCTCGGGATACGTCAGGTTCTTAGCCACGAGCTGAGGAACGGCAACCTGATCGATTCCAAGGTTCGGATCGGGTGAAATGACAGTTCTGCCGGAGAAGTCGACACGCTTTCCAGACAAGTTTCCACGGAAGCGACCTTGCTTTCCCTTCAATCTCTGGCAGAAGCCACGAACGGCTTTGCCGAAACCAGGTTGCTGAAGTCCAGGGACGTCGCTGTTGACATACATTGCGACCTGTAACTGGAGGTACTCCCACTGCTCCATGATTGTCTGGATAGGCGAACCCTTCTGTAGCGCAGAGCGAATCATGCCACTGACCCAAACGATGTCGGCGAGCTTTGTCGTGATATCGTCCTCGTTACTGGCATTGTCTTGGGCGACCGAGGGTCGGATGCATACTGGGGGAGCAGGGAGGAACTGCCAAATGAACATCTCCGGGCGACCTTCGGCAGGATCCAGGCCGAGAAGTTCGCAGTCGGTGGGACTGATCATTTTGAACAGATTGAGAACCCTGAGAGGATTCATGTCTTCCATGGCCTTACGAAGATGCTTGTCCAACTCGGCATTGTTTTTCCTGGCCTCACTGAACGACTCGTCGAATTTGATCTTGCTCTCGGGAGGCACCTTCTTAGCGGAGGTGGACTTGTTGTATGTAACAAACTTGTCGTGTGCCAGCTTGAGGACGCCAACCTTGCGGATCTGGCCTTGAACGGAGCCGCAGTACATGCAGTTCTTCACCTTGCGACACTGTTCGTTGATTCGCTTGCAGATTTGGGAGCGGCGCAGGTTATCCAGCAGCGGCCGCCTCAACTCTTTGAGAAATGCGCGTTTCTCAGACTCGGTGAGTAGGACTTTGCCGCAATCCTTTAAATGGTTAGCTAGTGTCAACTTGAGCAAAGAGGTAGAGTAGAGGCCTACCTTGCAGATGTCCTGCAGTATCATCATGACGAATCGCAAGTAGCCAATGTGGAACGCAGGCAATGGAAGCCTGACATGTCCGAAGTGACCAGTACAGTTCTGTAGTGATTCCTGGCATGTTGCGCATTTACCAGTCTTGCTCGAAGTGCCCTAGAAGCAGCGGAGTCAGCTTCATGCAGCATTATGGACGGGGTCGACGGCGCTTACCAGACGGGGATCGAGGGGACCATGCTGGTATGGGGCTCTGTTCTTCTCGATATCGTAGAGGAGTCGGTCGGAAACTTCGAGAACGGCTTGGTTTGCAATGTCTTGGTTGGACCTGCGGAGCCGAAAGATTAGCAACGGCATATGGTGCGAGGCGGGCTGAG